TATCTATCTATCTATCTATCTATCTATCTATCTATCTATCTATCTATTGTAGTGGTGTCAAACTCATGGACCATGGGCTGGATACATCACTCAATGGCCATGCCCATCCCTGGTTTAGCAAAGGGGGAAAATGTTGCGATACATCACATGACAACATGACTCGTGAGTTTCACACCCATGATTTAGAGAGAGAGAGAGAGAGAGAGAGAGAGAGAGAGGGAGGGAGGGAGGGAGGGAGAGAGAGAGAGAGAGAGAGAGAAGAGGGAGAAATATAGTTGTGAAAAATGTTTTAAACAGAGCAAAGAACAGTTAAAGAGGCATGGAAAATGCAGAATGATGTTGACCAAAATAAAACGTTGTCTTGGAAGTGAATAAAAGAGGCTAAACAAGCAAAATAAATGGATTATGCTAGCATCCTTGAAGAAGATTAAAGGAATTATACAAAAATAAGCAAGCTCATCCCTCCATTAAAAACAAGTTTCAATTTTTACTATTTTAAAAAAATATAAAGCTGTTAACATTCTACTAATGTTTTGTTTGATATTTAAATGTATTTAATTTTTAAAAGTGATCCATTTCTGCCTAATCCTAACTACAATGAAATAACTAGTCATAAATGTAGAGGAACGGGTTGGACAAATTTATTTTATCATAATAAAAGTCCAATGAAGCAAGTTGAAGAACCTCTAACAAATGGGATTGAAGCGGGGAGGATATGGTCTACATGCAATATTTTAGAGTTGAAACTATAACTCAACATGTTTTATTGAGGCTCACTGTTTGTATCTGAGGCTCATTTGTGATTTCCATATTCCAATCTGCTAACTAACCAACAGATAAGAGAAAAACAAGAGCAACTAAAAAAGGAATGATTATGAAGTACGGAGTACAATTAAGTAGGATTAAGCCAAAAATAGTCAGCATGATTTTGCTCATCTCTAAGATTTATTCTCATTTGAATTAGAAAATCATGATTTAAATAAATCATGTCTATACTCATCTGGTGTATTTTACCCGATGTAATTTGATGTAATTGTAAGATAATGAAATCTGGAAAAATCTACCACATTTCTCATTTTTAGTATGAATGTAAAATTGAAATAAAGAGAATAAATTTTATTGCCAGTAATAAATAATCTACAAAAGTTTATTTTTACATTTAAATTTATTTTAAACACAAAATAATGGTGAATGATTTCAATATTTTAATTCAAATGGAATATTCTGTACAAATAAGTATTTAGCGACAATATTTTTTTTTAAAAGAACAAACATTTAGTATTTATTTTTACTTTCTTTTGCTTCCATTAGTCCCAAAAGCACAGCATCAGCTTCCAATAAGGTTGTATCTTTTGTTGCTCCCAAGAATCTAGAGGAAAGTTCAAGGTCAATAAGTTTCAGGCGGACTTTAGATCCAGTTTCATATTTCCTGGTGAAAAAAGAAAAAAGTGTAGTGACATATAAACTTATATATTCTGAGGTGACATTTTAAACTTGACTGTTGTGAGTCTATTTTGCTAAATTCCATTCATCATATACATCTTTTGTAATCTTCAACAAGATACAATACTTTAAACAATAACCCATTTTTCCTCTCACAATGTAAAGATAATTTTATTTAGTCTAAAGTGGTTTGGCAAAACTAGCCTTATTTCAAGAGCTGTCAGAAGCAATGAGTTATACTGTCAGAAGAATAAAAACCATGGTTTGCTGAACCAAGCACAACAGCCTCATTTGCACATAAAGTAGTCCATAATAGGTAGGTTCAAGCTAAACTAAAAGCAAATGAATCAAGTTTAGGCAAAGATGTGAATTGGAATTTTCTGGATTTAAAATCATCTACTTAAGGTATGATTGACAATTTCAAACTTGTATGTTTTTCAGCTAACTGCTCTAAAAAAATTGAGGAATTCTATAGCTTTCCCACCTCATACCAAATAACAGCCCACACACTTGTGCAGACTGCAATTATTGAGATGAATATGGTAATTAGCATCATACTCATTTGCATAAATGTCCTGCTAGACTTCTCTAGTTCAACTTCTTAAAAGCAGAATTCCAAATATCCTGCTTTGTTTCTAACTCTTTTCTGCAATCAGTGGCAGTTTGGATAAATATGAAGGACAGAAAACTGTCGCCCATACTCACTTTCTAACTAAGATAATCTTTTTCCCTCCCCAAGAGGCCTAGATATCTTAATGCTCAAGCATGGGTATCAGTCCACCTGGAAGCAAACTTACTAACTCGCCCCAGATTATGAACCACGGTACTTCTTAAAACAATGTACCAAAGAAAACCAAGTACCAAACTGACTCTGTACTCTCTCTCTTTGAAAGAAGACTACAGAGGAATTAATGAGTCTGTCATCTGCACTTCTATAACTGTCTGGTTTGGTTCTGCAACCGAACAGGACAGACACAGACTTCAAAGGATAATTAGGACTGCAGAAAAAACAATTACCACCAACCTCCCTTTCATCAAGGGCCTGTATATTGCATAAGTCAAAAAGAGGGCTGTGAAAATATTTAGACCCCTCACATCCCAGACATAAACTGTTTCAACTCCTTCCCTCAAAACGACACTATAGAGCACTGCACACCAGAACTAGACATAAGGACAGTTTTTTCCCCAAACACCATCAAATAATTCCCTCAACACTGTCCAACTATTTACAAAGTCTGCACTACTATTACTATTAACCTTCCCATCACTCCCTATCACCCATCCCCTCCCACTGGTGACTGTATGACTGTAATTTCGTCGCTTGTATCCTTACAATCTATATTGTTTCCTAGTATGATTTGATTGCTTATTGTACCCTTTGACTATTATTAAGTGTTGTACCTTGATTCTTGACGAATGTATCTTTTGTTTTATGTATACTGAGAGCATTTGCACCAAGACAAATTCCTTGTGTGCCCAATCACACTTGGTCAATAAAGAATTCTATTCTATTCTATTCTAAAAAAAAAAAAAAGCCTCTAATCACTGAAGGACTCCCTTTGGTACGCTGCAGCATCCTCCCTTTGGCTGTGTTAGAAGAGAGGAAAAGGCAGATCTAATCAGTGGGCAGAGACAATACAGTTGCATCTCTCCCCAGAAGTAGAAAGAAAGAACCTTTCACTTGACCTCGGTTCTGATCCCTTCAGCAACATGGCAGCCATAAGCTGGTGTAAAATTCTTGCAAAATTGTTAAGCCACGTAGGGACCCTGGCTTAACTTCATCTACTGCATAAGGACTGCTATGAAAGTAGCCTTCTGGGGCTGGAACTGGGAGCATCTCCTTCAGGATGATCAGGGGAGGTCACTTAGAACAGGGGTCCCCAACCACCGGTCCGCGGACCGGTACCAGTCCGTGGAACAAGTCCTACCGGGCCGCTGGTTTGCTGGGCGCCGCCATCTTTTTTTGATGAAAAAGTGCTTCCGGTGAGCTTTTCCAGGTAGAAAGCTCACCGGAAGCACTTTTTCATCAAAAAAAGATGGCGGCGCCCAGCTGATGCCGGTACCGGGCCGCGGCACCCAGCTGATGCCGGTACCGGGCCGCGGCATAAAAAAGGTTGGGGATCACTGACTTAGAAGGAAGGAAACAGGCCAAGTGATGCTCCACCCCCATCCATGTGGGCACTCCCATGTGACTAGCAAGGAAGAGTCCTAGCAGAGAGGTTCTATGGAGAAATACTGTAACAATGTATTCACTTGGCCCCACACTGGCCATGAATGGCACAGTTAAAGCATGGATGGTGAAAACTGCACTGAAAGTGGATCTTTCTTTCAGACATCCAGGCAAGGAAGTTCTACCCCCTTTCACAATGAAAAGTTCGACGCCCCTACCCCTTCAAGGAAAGTTTGTTAGGGCTGGCTAAGAGACACTGTTGCACCCCATCCTTGCCCACTTTGCCCAAATTGGTTGCTCTCTTATGCATTTACAAACACCCCTGGAGGGTAAGGAGGCTCTGGTGATGCTGGTCTTACCTTATTTACCCTGCTGTTCCCCTCCCCCCCCCTTCCTTTAGCTAGGGAAGATGGAGTGAAGCCAGTGGGAGAAAGAATAAAGGCAGCAGATAACAATCAGTCTGTGGGATTAGATAATGCCAGAGGGCTGGCAAATGGGCAACAGAACTACAGATGCTTCCAAAGCAGGGATGATGGTAATTCTTATGCTCCCCTTGGCAGGCTAAGCTCTGGCAGTGATCCAGCTTTCACTTGGGGAACAGCAACATGAACAATTACTTCCAGCACTTTCCTAGCAAATGAGATTTTGATGCATGTGGAATAAGATGCTGAAAAAAATGTACGTTATGTACAGTATATTTTTTTATCAATGCATACGTATATACATTCTTAAGTTGCCTGTTATAATAATGTATCTAAGCAGAAGCTGTAGTGTTATTTTCAAAAATACTAGTCTTCCTTTCTAAGAGAAATTTTAGGCAAATATTTGCACAGATTATACTTTCTGTGCGATTGATTTTTCTCAGCGAATCATCCCCAAAGGCAATGGAGGTGGGGGTATCAGTAAAAAAGTATGAGCACACTGAAGTAGTCTAATGCTCCATTTTAAGATTTATTTGCTTCCTATTATTAGAGTTAAAAGAAAACACTCTGTATCTCACAGAGAATTGCTTCTTATAACAACAATACTGAAATGAGTGCGGCTGCAATGGCTCCTTTTGCTTGAATGAGTGTGGAGAAATTCTTGGACGTGATGGCCAAGTCCCTTCCTAGGGCAAAATACACATGGAAGGGAATTTGGTCAGCAATTTTTATCTGTCTAATTAATGGAAAGAGATGATGACACAAACAATCAAATTAGAAGACAAATTCTAATTTTAACCAAAGCTAAGGCAATCCACAATAGAAATTATTCTGGTATTAAAATTCTTGGGTTGGTCACTGTCACCATTTGGAACTTTCATACTTATTACTATATTTTCCCCCTGATTACTAGAGCTAAACAAACCCCAGCTCTTACCTTTATGACTCTTTTTTACTATGTACCAAAAGGAGTCTGCTTGTCTGAACAGGACAGGAAGAGAGCAATTAAATTTGATTTTGCATTTCTGCATGAAGAGGTAATTTAAAAGCTTTTCCTTTGGACAGGTTTCTTGACATTTCCCCCTGCCCCAAGACATTCCTTACCATGTGCCAATTCACTCCAGTAACTGCTCTCATCCCAAGAAAGAAGAATTCATGTCTTTGACACAATAAATACAAAGCACACTGAAATGAAGATGTCCTCGTAGGGCATCACACTGAACAACACAATCCTTCCAAATAATCAGGGGTCTCTGAAACATGCATTCAGGAACATTCCTTCTCTCCTAACAAGTGAAGTGATTTAAAATTATTAATGTAGCGTGCCATTAATGTTCAGAAAATTATTAGTGAATAAACAAATTAGATTTGCTGTTATTGTCAATCACAAAATCCAACCTTCATTACAGAGTCCCAACTCAAATTGGTAAAATGGACTCTTTTCACACGTATATCCATTCTCAGTTCATGAAATAAGTTTTTACTTAAATCCTTAGATGACATTTTCTACATCTCTAAACATGCCATTCCCCAAAGGTATTTATTTGGCTCAATATTTTTCTTTAATATATGAAAGTATTCTATCATGCTTGTCCTACCTTCTATAATTTTGTCTTCTAATATAGAGGCTCTGAAACAGAGGTTGCAACTCTCTTCCCTCTCAGGGGCTGCAGAGGGTCTTTGATGGGGTTGCAAATGGGGCAGGGGGGGAAGGTCTCACATACAAAGCTAGAGTGCTGACCAACTGGCTTGCCTTTGCCAGACTAAGGAAGCTGGTTCAAGGGGGGGGGGGGGAAGCAGTAAAATTCAGAGCACAGTTTTATCAGTAGCATTTCTTCCAGGTTTTATGAAGGGAGCAGAGCAGTGCCTCTGCAAGTGAGCTTTAGTTGAGGGTGGGCAGCACAATGCCAATTTGGAGCACATTGAGAGGACAGGTGGCCTAGTCTCTTGTCATAAGGCAACAGTAATGGTGATGCTGTAGGAGCACTGCAGGGTGGAACCTGAAGAGAGGGAGAACTGGAGAATAGAATTGCAGCAGCCCTGCCAGCTGTGAGACTTTCATTCCTGTATCACCACCTTGCTTAAGCTAGACTTTTGCCAAGTGAAGGAGGGTTGCCTTCATAACTGCTAGGGTATCCTTGCTCAATGCCACCACCAACTGGAAATTCTCTGCATAAAACCTGTAGGGGGTAGGAACAGGATCACTGGTTCAGTGCAGTGCCAAACATGTGGCCAGATAGAAACAGAATGTTTTAAGGCTCTGGGGTTTATATGTGCAGTGCTCTTAGTTTGTACTGTTTCAGCCAGCAACTGAAGTGACTCCTCAGGAGAACTATTAGTGAAACAGCCAACAGCAAAGTGCAAAGGAAGATGTGTGAATTGAAAGCTGATTAA